GTGGCAGGGCGCTGGGCGCCCTATTTTATAGCCCTTCAGCTGGGGAAGTTTTCCCGCAAAGCGGCGTCAGCCCTTGCCAGTGCAGCTCGCCTCATGACCCTGGGGAAATCTTTTCGGCAAATAGAATCGGCCATCATGACCGATAATGAATCATAATGACATGAACTGTGACATCAGCATTAGTAGGACAACTTTTTTTCTGGAGATAGAAAGAAACTTTTGGCGTTCTTTTTATTCGCGAAACAACAAGGATACCAACAAACGTAGAATACCTCAACATAACAGTGGAACACAGAAGATGGGGAGAGTTTAGAGAGAAAGAGAGAGAAAGAGGTCAAGAAAGATCAGATAAAGGTTCAAACAGGTGCATCAGCAACAACACGGCACAAGAGCACTAGGAGAAAAAATAGAGGAAGGAAATCTGGGCAAAATAGAACTTGAAAGATATAGAAAGAAAGAACAAGAAAACGAACAGTCGATGATCATCACCATTCTCTCACTTATTTGGCGGCCGCTCCGTAGGAGTCATCGTAGATGGGGTTGTACTGCAGGTCCTTCAGAAACTGGTACTTCTCCGCCGGCTCGGGCGTGTACGAGGCCAGGCCCTGGGCGTAGAACCAGTCGCAGAGCTTGGCGCCGATGGCCAGCGTCACCGGGCGAATGTGGTTGAGGCGCGGGTAGAGGCGGCCGGCGTCCAGCTCCGCGGGCTTCACCTCCTCGGCGAGCGCCTTCGCCGCCTGGATGAAGGCCTCGTCGGTGATGCGCTTCACGCCGCAGGCCATCACCGAGAGGGCCATCGCCGGGAAGATGTAGGCGTTGTTGCCCTGGCTCGGCTCGAAGCGCCGCCCGTCGAGGACCACCTCGCCGAAGGGCGAGCCGGAGGCGAAGAGCGCCCGCCCGCCGGTGTACTTGTACGCCTCCTCGGCGGTGCACTCGCTCTTGCTGGTGGGGTTGGAGAGGGCAAGGACCAGCGGTCGCTCCTTGTTGATCGCCGCCATGTGCTGGAGGACGGCCGGCGTGAAGGCGCCCGAGACGGCGCTGACGCCGATGATGACACTCGGCTCGAAGGCCTGCACTACCTTCAGCAGGTCGGTCAGCTGTTCCATCTCCTTGGCGTAGGGGTTGGTGTTGCCGGGGCGGTCCGCGGTNGTTGCTCCGCCTCCTTGGCGTAGGGGTTGGTGTTGCCGGGGCGGTCCGCGGTGACCAGGCCGTCAATGTCGAACATGGCGACGCGCCCTCGGGCCTCCTTCTCCGTCAGGCCTTCGTGCTTCATCTGCTCGACGATGAGGTCGGCGATGCCGAGGGCGGCGGTGCCGGCGCCCTGGAAGAGAAAGCGGTGGTCGCTGACGCGCTGGCCGGTGATGCGGTTGGCGGCAAAGACGCCGGCCAGGGTCACCGAGGCCGTTCCTGGAACGCGAAAAGGAGATCGAGATTTAGAACAGCTCGAATTCAGTGCATGGTACTGACCTTGTATGTCATCATTGAAGGTGCAGAAGTCATTGCGGTACTTCTTCAGCAGGCGGTGGGCGTTTCGGTTGCCAAAGTCCTCAAACTGCACCAGNTCAGTGCATCGACCGCACTGCACTGCCTGACTGACCTTGTATGTCATCATTGAAGGTGCAAAAGTCATTGCGGTACTTCTTCAGCAGGCGGTGGGCGTTTCGGTTGCCAAAGTCCTCAAACTGCACCAGACACTGGTCACCGTAGATGCGCTGCACGGCGTGCATGAACTCGTCAATCAGCGCGTCGTAGGGGGCGCCGTCCACGCGGCGGCGGTGCAGGCCAATGTAGTACGGGTCGCGCAGCAGGTCTAAAAGAAAAAGAGAGAGAGAGAGGACTTGAATTAGGATTCCGAGGTAAACAAAGCACTCCCCCAGGTGTGTGTGTGTGTCTCCCTACCGGTGTTGTTCGTGCCCACGTCAATGACGACGGGCAGCGTGAACTGCGGGGGAATGCCGCCCAGCGCCGAGTAGAGCGCCAGCTTGCCCACGGAGATGCCCATGCCGTGGGCGCCCAGGTCGCCCAGGCCCAGCGTCCGCTCGCCGTCCGTCACCACGATCGCCTTGATGTCGTCGTGCTCCCAGTTCTGGAAGAGCTCGTCAATGTGCCCTAAAAAAGAAAGGGGGGAGGGGGTCAAGGTCAGTCAGGCTTCAGCTTCGAAGACCACCACCACCACCACCACCACCACCACCACCAGGACCACTCCCCTTACCAGCATCATCGATGGTGATAAAGAGGCCCCGAGGGCGCTTGTAGAGGCGGCTGTAGTGCTGACAGGCGAGCCCCACCACCGGCGTGTACACCACCGGCATCAGCTCATCGGGGTACTGCTGGAGGACGTGGTAGAAGAGCTGCTTGTTGTTGTCCTGCAGGTCACGCAGGTAGATGTACTTGTTCAGGTCCTTCTGAAACTCGCGAATCTGCTCGATGGCCAGCCGCGCCTGGTGGGACTGGTTGTGGTGGCCGGCAGGGAGAAGACCTAATC